TGGAAAATGTGTCCTATTTTATCACTGTAAAGATTTAAATGAAGCAATAAATAAACAGAACCTGGTAGGAACTTCTTAACTAATGTTAATTTGCTTTTAGCTAAATAGATTTAGAAGGCAAAAAGGTTTGGAAACAGATCCAAGCTGGAATAGGTATTTAGGAAGATAACTAAAGGCTACAAAGGACATAGCGTAATCACTCCTTGACAAAATATTACTGTTATTAGACATGTAAGGACAATACTGAGGTCTCCAGAAATGAGTGTAAAAGGACACAATAATGTTCCAGTACAGCTTGTATTTAGTACTCGAAAAATAATTCCAACTCATTAAATTATACACAGAACTAATGGTGCTAGGATTTTGTTTGCAGACAGAAACTCAGGATTGTAGGAAGCCATGGTGCTGGTGTTCATGTTTGGATACTGACTTACAGGGTCTCTTCTTGAGAAATGGATTTCTGTGATTCATGACTGAGTGCAAAACCACTTAAGAAAGAGAGTGGTGTCTGCCAGAGGCATCCAAACACACTGATTACTTGCCCTCTTTTGCTTTCTTGATTTGGTAGCATCAAGACACAGCATCCATCTCATTCATAAGTGTCTTTTGGTACAAATTCTGCTAAATTATCATTGGCTTTGTTTCATTTATTTCTTTATTCCCCCACACCTCCTTCTCCTTTTTCTGAGCACCAAGAGTTGTACATGTTCAGGATGGTTTTTATGACGAAATACAAACATAAGATGATGGATTACATTGTCTTCTGTGTGTCCTTTTTTTAAAAAAAGTATTATTTATTTGAAAAGCAAAGTTACAGAGAGGCAGAGAGAGAGAGGAGTCTTCCATCCGCTGATTCACTCCCCAGATGGCTGCAATGGCCAGAACTGGGCTGATCCAAAGCCAGGAGCCAGGAGATTCTTCCAGGTCTCCCACGTGGGTACAGGGACCCAAGGAGTTGGGCCATCTTCTGCTTTCCCAGGCCGTAGCAGAGACTTGGATTGGAAGTGGAGCAGCCAGGACTTGAACTGGGTCTCATATGGGATGCTGGCACTGCAGGCGGTGTTTTACTTGCTAAGCCACAGTGCCAGCCCCCTGTGTCTTTTTGTATAGGAACAAAGCAGATGACTCTTCTCACTCCATTCTGTATTATCCTTAATATTTATTACTTAAAAATTATGCAAGACTATGAAGTACAGTATCTTCACTCTTATTTGCTCACAGTCTTTCAATGAGAAAGTATTTTTGCCTTCTTTTAAGAGAGGGAAAGGTATAATAAAGTGGGAGAACAGATCTCATTTAGGCAATGTGGGCTGTGGTTAAACCTGCAGGTGGGAGGTAGGTGTGTGTGTGGGGTGGGGTGTGGGGGGTGATTTCTAAGTTAAAGATGTAGAAGAACTTGCCCTAGTTAAGAATTCACCAACCTATACATTCCTTTGGAGAACACGCTTTACTATTGCAAGTGCAATTCCTGAGAGTTGTTAGGTTTAGGTAAAGATTGACTACAGGGACAAATTTCCTTCATCTTGATATCAGGAAGAGCTCTGCTCCAGGGAAAGCTTATGCAGATGTTGCAGATTTTCTTGCTGGAGACTTAGATAGATGAAAAGAAATTAAGAAAGAGTTTGGAGCTCCTAAATAAAGAATTTGGGAAGTGAGACTGATTGTAGTTTTTATTTGAATTTGACAGGGATGATTTTTCTTTAAGTACTTCTCTGGAAAGGGTGAAAATCAAATTAAATGAGGCACTTTGAGTGAAAGGAGTTTATAAATAGCAACGTTTTGTATGAAGGTAGGTACAGTCTCCATTTTGAATAAGGTGGAAGAATCTGCTTTCTGAGAATTCCCCAAAAACTCAATCAATTTCTGGTGCCCTAAGCAACTTCACAAATAAACAAAGCATATTTCTGCATTTTCCTTACCCAGTAGTAGACTGGGATTTCAGGATGTTATTGAAATACAGTAAACCTAACACAGGCTTCGTGGGCATGAGTTTACACAGATTTCTTTTCCTAAAACCAGAGCTCTCAGTAGACAACTCTTTGCCTAACATTATTTGTATGGCTTTTACTAGCTCTAAGCCCTTTTTCACAAAAAGATAGTAGGGAATAGGTTATGCTTCCTTTTACAAATGTTAATTCAAGTATAGAACACAGCACTCTTCATATTGAGAGCTTTTGAACCCTGCTCCTGAACAAAAATACAAAAGAAACCCTTGAAAGCAAAACAGATGATGTACTGTCTATAACTAGGATTCCATTTGTTTATAGTTTAAAAATCAGTGGGAAAATCGCGATCAAAGGCAGGGTAATTCATACAGAAAATTGCCAGACCACTTCATCTGGCTGGATTCTGTAAAGTCTTTGATTCAGACAGTTCACATGAAGAAAAAACGGTCCATAGGTTCAGAGTTCTTTCCAGCAATAAACTCCTAGTGTAAACAGGAAGACTCTCGGGTGTCTTGTAAATTTTACAAACAAATGATACTCCTTGCCTTGCACTCTGTGATCCTGACTTTGAGGCAAGAGCTGTAATGAATAGCAAAACATTCCAGTTCTAAGTTCGACATAGAGATTTTTCACTGTTACCACAGTAGGACTTCTGTTGAGGGGGAGAAGACCCGTAGGTTATTAAAAAAAATTGAAGATTATATTTTCTTTGGTTTGCTTAATAATAGCTCTAAAATTCTATGATTCTAAAGAACCTGTTGATTATATCAGTAATAAAGAAGACTAGGAACACCACATGCAAGCATATCAGTTTCCCCAAAGTTGTAATAATGTAATTTTCAAAGGATAATTCAATTTAGAAAAAGAAGTGACCAGTGAAACATTTTAGCAGGAGTGGAAATTATTACTTATGATTACAAGTATAGTTTGTGTGTAATTTCCAGTGGGAAAAATGCATGTGGAATTAGAGGTTATGGGAAAATCAAAGGAGACACACCACCTAATCCAAATCATACAGAGAGGCCATAGTGGCCTCTGATGAGAAACTATGCAGTTAGAAACTTCTTCAGCGGGCTGAGAAAGGGTATGCTTGTAACAGTACACACGATTTTTGTATCTTTAACACCCACATAAAATCTGAGAATTAGGCGTGGCTGTCAACCTGCTGGAGTGCATTTTTAACCAAATCTAAGAGGAAGCTTCAGACAACATGTATATTTGGGTCTTCAAAAACAGTTGGCAAGATTTAGAGTTAAAAGTAAATTGGAGTGACGAGTACAAATACAAACTGCACAAACCCATCTACCTTCACCTGGAAAGACTAGTCGCTTGAGAAAAAGAAAAAAAAAAATAGGCAAAACAAATTCTGCTTTGGCTCTTGTGTCTTTTGGAGGTACAGTCAGAACCCTGGAACTTTACTTTTTGTAAGCCAAGGAGGCGAGGAGGGGGTCCATGTGCTGTGTTTCTGGGAGAAGCATAGCCCAGGGCCCCTTCTTTCCACCCTTTACACTAACGTCAGAACAAACCAGAGGATTTTCTGGAGCTAAGGCAAGGACAATGGGGCCAGGCGCTGCTAGAACTGGCTTACAAGGAAGCAAGATTTGGAATGAAGCCGCTGGGCTGCAAACTCGCGGCGAGAGATGTGCCCACGCTGTGAGGAGAGCTTGTTCCTGGCCTTTGGAAAGCCTTTCTCCCTACTCCTCTTAGATTTCTGAGCAGCCAAGTGCAAACAGATCGCGTTTCTGGCGCAAAGAGCCGGCGGAGGAGTGCTATAGGGTCGCTCCCCGGTGTCCTCCCGCCCCGCGCCAGGTCCTGGGCGATGGAGTCTGAAAGGGAAGTGTTCTCTGACCCCCGCCCGCCCTGCCGGCAGACGCGGCTGCAGGTGGCCGGCGGAGCTGTCCAGCACTGGTGCGCAGCGGGCGGGGGCCGGCCGCCCGCGCGCCCCGCCGTGCTGAGGCTGAGCGGCCGGGCTCTCGCCCAAGCAGCCGCTGTCCTCTCGCTGCCGGGGTCTGGCTCGCTCTGCGCCCACGCGGCCTCGCGCGAAGCGGGCAACGCTGGTTCCCACGAGCTGCTCCAGCAGAACGGGCGCCAACATGTTGACCCTTCCCTTCTCTTCCTTCCCCTTGTAAGCGTCGCCACTGGAAAGGACGGGCTGCAGCGCTCGGCCTTTCTCTTTTGCCTCGGAACTTCCTAAATAAACTCAGAAGAAGGCAGGGGAAACACACGCGTGGACCCTGACCCCCGACTTCGCGCCGTACGCTTCCCAAGGTGGCTCCGGAGGGAGGTCTCCTGTCCCCGCCCCACGCCTCTCTCCCCTCCCGCGCCCGTCGGAGCCCGTCCGCTCCCATCTGCCTTTCCCGGGGCCCAGGCACCGGGCATTTGGGGTGGGGGCCCTTTGGTCCCATCTGGGCCACGGTGCGCTCCTCCTTGGAGCAGGGGGCGGTGGCAGCGGGGAGGGCGCGCAGAGGACAGCAACCAAGTGTCCTCGTTGCTCCTGAAACGTGGCGACAGGCGAGGCAGAGACTCCCAATGAGTATGATGGCGACACGTGATACCGGCGGAGGGCGAGCATGGGGGGCGGGGGGATAAAGGCAGAAGGAGGGAGGCGGGCAGCAAGTGCAGAAGGGCGGGAGGAGAGCAGGACAGGGGGCGAGACGGGCGCGCGGGCGGCACAAGCCTCTGCCGCCCCGGCCGCGCGGCCCGAGCCCTGCCCGACCCGCCGCCCGCGGTCACACACTTGGAGCCAGCCCGCGAAGCGGGAGCGCGGCGCACGGCGATGCGCCGAGGCGGGCGCTGAAGCGGCGCCGCGCGAGCAGCAGCACAGGCGGCGGCGGCCCCCAGCCCAGCCCGGCGCCGCCGCCGAGCCCGGGCCCCAAGTTCCCGCCATGAGCAGCCAGCTCGGGGGGCTCTTCGGCCCCGGGGGCTCCCGCCCGGCTGAGCGCGACCACAGCGCCCCGCGGCCCCAACGCGCCTAACGCAGCCGCTCGCGGGGTCCCGCCGCCGCCGCCTCCACCGCCGCCCGCGTCCCCGCCGCCGCCCGGCCGCCGCAGCGCCCGCCAGCAGCATGTCTCGGAGGAAGATTTCATCCGAGTCCTTCAGCTCCCTGGGCTCCGACTACCTGGAGACCAGCCCTGAGGACGAGGGGGAGTGCCCCCTGTCCAGGCTCTGCTGGAACGGCAGCCGCAGCCCGCCCGGGCCGGCCGAGCCCAGCGCGGCCACCGCCGCTGCCGCCGCCGCCGCCGCCCCGGCCCCGGCTGCCTCTGCCGCGGCCGCCGCCGCCACGGCCGGGGCCAGGAGGGCACAGCGCCGGAGGCGGGTCAACCTAGACTCGCTGGGCGAGAGCATCAGCCGCCTGACGGCGCCCTCGGTGAGCGGGGGCGGAAGGGGCCGCGCCTCGGGAGCGGGTAGGGATCGGGAAAGTTGGCGCGGGGCGAGCTTGCCCGGACGCGCGAGCGGAGCCGGACCGCTGGGGGGCGGCCGGGCCTCACCCCGCTCGGCCCGGGGTTCCCGGCGGTTCCGGGAGGGACCCCTCCTCGCGGATCCGGTGCCAGGGGCAGTAGAAAACAGAAGAGAGAGGAGGACCCTGCTTCTCCGCGGTCTCTTGAGGCGGGGGCCTGGCCGCCCATCTCCAGCCGTGGACCCTGCTACATCTGTGTCCCCGGAGGGGCCCCTGTGCTCCTGCACACCCACCTGTTTTCTTTGCCCCAAACTTTGCCAGGCACTATGGTCCATAGTTGCATTTCCCTGTCTTTCATCCCGGCTGGCTAGCATCCCCAAGGAGCCCCAGCCCCTTCCAGGAAACCCTTCCTCTCCTTATTCCCACACTCTCTTGGTCTTGGTGTGACCTTGTGTGACATCTTTGCATTCCACAGGCTATCTGCATTCTTTGTTGATTCCGTTTCTCCAGTCTGCAGAAACTCTCTGCCGCATACTTTGCTGGGTTGCCTTCAGAAAGTGAAGAAAGTTTATCTTGTGTTTTTATACCCTCCCCCCCCCCCCCCTTTGCTTATTCACTGGGCATTTACTGGTTCAAGCCTCTTTTCTGGATAAACTTGGTGTCTTTTTGTTTTCTGAATCTCTCTGGTACTTCTTACTCCTGCACCTCATTTTTCACTCCCCATTTCCTGGATTCCCATACTTCTGTGGTTTCCTTACATTTAGGCCTTGGATGAATGAGTAAGTACCTTCCCAGACCTCTCCAAACTTGCGCTTATTTGGGGATGTCTGTATCAGCAGTTTCAGGTGAACACCACACTCCCCCTGGCTCTAGGCATCTTTCCGGGGCACTTGTGCTGGCTTCCTACTGAAACATTTCAGCTACTCTTGATTTTTACCATTTGCGGGAATGTCAGATCCCCGATCTCATCTCTCCTTGTTCTGGGTGAGCTGTTTTGAAGGAACCCATCCCATTGCAGAAGATTTAAAGGAGATTCGGTGCCAAACCCCCATCCATCCCCACGCTGACCTTGGATGCAAGGACTTTAAGTCCTGGCAGCACTTTGACCCACCCAAACCTGGGACATTCACTTTTTCAAAGTGTCCACACTGAATCCGAACAATGATCTTTGTTCTCCACTCTCCCTCTTGAAAAAGCTCACTGACTGAGGTTAGGAGGGGTGGCATCCCGAGGGGGTGAACGCTGGTACCAGGCAGCCCCACAGATATCCTCATGACACTTGCATCAGTGGAGAGTGACGTTTTTCTCCCAGCAGTGTAACTCCTCTTTGGTCTTCTTCCCCTTCTTGTGTGTTTCCCCTTTGATGTGCCTTTCTGCCACTTTTTCTCCACTGATGATCAAGAAAACAAATCTGAGAATGGATTGGCTGCTGCTTGCTATTCTTTCTTGCAAGTATTTCCCAGGCAGCATATATTTGATGCTGCAAATTGTTGAACACAATCCTTTCTAAGAGGAGTACAGTAGTTACATCTGTAGATTTGTGTCAGTACTCAAAGCAGTAATTGGGCAATATATGAATTCTCCAATATCACAAATATGTATATGATACAATGATTATACTTAAGATAGTGATTAGTTTTCAAGGAGTTGTTTTTATAATTTTAGAGTTTTCTTTTTGCCTAAGAATCAAGATTTATCAATTTCCAAAAAGTAATGACAGTGCCTTTGGTGATGCAAATTTAACCTAAGACTGTTTTCAACTTAACCTAAGACTGTTTTCAACTACGTACATGAGTAGTACATAAAATAAACTGAGAATTCAAATACTTACTGCAAGAATAAGAGAGGGGAAGCAGTCTTTGATGGTTGCCTTTTTAAGTCACATTTTAGGTAACTCTGGGTTTCTGCTGAAAGAGAAGTACAAACATAAATAATAGTTTTCAGAATGAGAAATTTGAAAATGTAATGACCAAATATCTGCAACAGCTGTTTTTACTTTCCATGACTCAGTTCTGTTTTGAAAAGGATCTGTCAGGTGGATGCCAAGAATATACACGTGAATACAGTATAAACATTTTCAACATCATAATGCATGTATAGAAAATTCTCAATGGCTACCATATCACCAATAGATTTAATGGCACAAAGAGAGAGTGGTTTCAAAGCAGTGACTTATTTCCATATAATCCCTACCCACTTCCTTTTATTCGGCAAGCTAGTACCCTGTTGCAAATAGTTTCAGTAGATTAATTCTTACCTTCTCAAGATCTTAAACTTCCCTGTAAACACTTGTGGGGATGAATTATATCTCATGTTCTCTCTCATCAGAGACAAACAGTTTCTGATTCTTTGATGCCACCAAGAATAGGCCCTCCCAAAGCATGTTTAGATGGGGAGCTTTCTATCATTTCATCAAAGTAGATTTCATGAGAAACTGTACTTGTTGTGCAAACTCCTGTTTTCTTGGTGGTCCCATCATGAAGTGTCTCAATCACATGTGACATGTTATTCAGAATGATTTGCAGGAAGGAAAATGGAAATGAAGTTCATGAACACTAGAACATTGCCAAGTAATTAAACCAGTTATTTGGCCAGTGGAATATTAAAACTCAGATTTGTGATATATTAATCATTATTTTTCGACGCATTGATGTTAACTACAAAGATCACAGTATTGTATATTATTTTAGTAAAAATGGAATTGGTGAAATTGGAAGACTTTAGAGTTCAGGAGATTCTAACTTTGCCTGGAATAACTAAATACATGTATATATCTGGGAGCATTAGTTTGACTCTCTGGAATCCTTCTCATCTGTTAAGGGTTATACTTAGGGTCTCTCCTATTCTGAGATTCTAAAAAGACATACTGTTCTTTGGATAAACTTTCAAAATGGAAAAATGAAAGAAAATCAGGACTTTCATTATAGACTTTAAAACTTTTTGAGCAAAGCAGTTTGCTTTAAGTAGGGACATCAAAGTACTATTTAACTGATCCAGTTGTTAAAAAGATTTTAACATCACTATGTTGCAAGTATTGTACAAAGCATTGGCAATACAAATGTGGAACAAAATATACTCAATATCTTTTACCTTATGGAACCTCTTTAATTATAGTTCTTATTTTCAGAAACTGTATTGAAGGAAAATATAAGAACTCCAGTTATCTTGGAGATGTGTAAGGGATGTGTTATTTATCATCTTTGGGTGATTTTTTTCACTGTGAATTTCTGAGGTACAGCTATAAAATATAAATAACACTGAATATGTGATTGAACATGAATAAATGGTATTATTTTGCAGTAATTTAATACCTGGGAGCACATATGGAAATAACATGAAGGGTTAATTTAGTAACTCACTATTTGGCTTTTATTTTTATTTTTATAAATGAGAAATTGCTCAGTTGCCCTATCACTCTGGTGTGGCTAATGTCAGCCTGTCAGTGAAGATATTCCAGAGCCAAGATTTCTTGAATGAGAACTCCTTGCAGGTGACTTTGAGGACCAAAGAGAGCAAAATGCAGGAAGAAGAGTAACACCTGAAAAATGGCAAGTAAGGGGAGTGCAGCTGCTGACAGGAAATTGTCCAGGGCAGTGTGAGAGCAACTGGAATGGAAGCTTGGATACAAACAGGAATCAAAAAACTGCTTCATTATTTTGGGAAAGGAAATTATATTAATACATGCCTAGGAAAAAAGTGAAAGAAAAAATACATTTGACTTCTCCTGATATTAACTAAAATTAGCTCTCTGAAATGTATACACAAACAAAACAAAACACTTTGTAAAAGTGGGTGTGACTGACATGTAGTCAATAAAATATACAAAATATATTTGTGAGGTAAGATATTTGATAATTTGTGCATTTTAATTAAAGCTTTTTATATTTTGGGCTTAATTTGTATAATAAAGTTCTGAGAACCAGATGCATAACAATCATGAAATTAGATAAAATGTGATCCAGTAGCTTAATGTTTGCACATTCGTAGAAATTAGTGTAATCTGAAGTCAGAATGTAATGACTCTCCATTGCCTTTCTCTGCTGCATTCCTAATCATCTGGGAAACAGTGCAGCAGAGTTGATGGCCTTGAGTTGGAATAATCCTCTGCTAATCCTGTAAGTGTGAAACCCTGGGAAAGCCACCACCATCCTTCCATGAGCCAGTTTCCTCCTTTGTGAAATAGTCATAGTAACTACCTGGTAGATTTGTGTAAAGGAGAAGCAGTATTCCTGTAAAACTCCCTGCACTCAATATTTGGTAGTTCCAAGTGAGAGCTAATAATTTCTACCAAATTTGAATTCCTCTCAAGGATCTAAAAAATTTTTTTCCCATTAATTATTCATTTTTTAGTAATCTCATTGGAAGATCTCATAGAACAGAATCACAGATGTTAAGTAGCTAAAAAAAATGATAAATGATAAAAGCACTTAATTTTGTTGGCATAGCCAGTCAATCCATTAAAAAAAATAAAACAGGAGTTCCTTTTTATTTCTGTGACTATGACTCACGTGTGTACACAGGTGTATACAATCATTGCAGATTCAAACGTTTCCATCAAGTCACTGCATACTACGCGACAATACAAAAGCCACTTATATAAATGCTATTAGCAATATGAAAACATCTATGTTTTGTAGACTATGGATATGTCATGACAAGTTAATCTTAAATTAGAAAAGAAAACATATTAAGTAAAAGACAGACTGCTTATTTCATTTGCCTGATGAAATTTCAAACCTTCCTTATCCTTTGCATTCAAATTAGAAACCTGAACATGTGCTCAAAGGGCTAGACTATGAGAAGCAACAGTTACCCAGCAAGTGGTATTTTTTTTTACTGTAAGTGTACAGTGAGAAATAATAGCAATGATGATCAGTTTGTAAGTAAATGTGGTAGGCGATTGCAGCCTCCTTTTTTTTATTTTTTATTTTTTTTTATTTTTGAAAGGCAGAGTGGACAGTGAGAGAGAG